AAGCATATTCTAAAGTATATTCTAATATATTACACACTCCCCCTCAAGTTGGAGCATAGATATTTATCACGCCCAACTTGTTACATAAATAACCAACTCGAATTCCATTTAGTGATATAGTGAAGAAATCCCCAAGTTGATTTCTAATCTTCACGTATCTTGTAGAGGTTAATCCTTTAGATATCTTCTCTTGAATAAAATGATGACAATCGACCTCAATATGTTGTGTTCTCTCATGAAACACTAGATTGTTGGCGATGTGTATAGCAGCTTGATTATCACACCATAGTTTAACAGGCTTTGGTGTCTTCAATCCAATTTCACTCAATAAATGTTTTATCCAGGTTATCTCACATGCCGATTATGCCATAGCACGATATTCTGATTTAGCACTAGAACGAGAAACCACATTCTGCTTCTTACTTTTCCAGGAGGCGAGATTACCAACAACAAAGACACAATAGTCAGATGTAGACACTACAACAAAATGAGTCATTTGCGTCCATGTTTTTAGGGTCGATGTATGTGGACATTAATAGCACATCTTTTGTGTCAATAGGTGGAGGCAAATAACTGGACGCAAATAACCGATGCCCCATACTTCATACTCAATAATTATAAGAAGGGATTTAGCCTATGAGCAACACTCCCGTATTATCTTCTTTCTCTAGCAAATTACCCCGAACTAAACAGGCCATAAATGTGACGGATGTAGTATAACTCATTACCATTTGTGTGTCATTCCGTGAACAATAAATGCATGCTTTTTATTGAAAAAGATTAAATATGTACTCCTTATTACGTTAATTCAAAATTTGTACACATTAATTTTGATAACCCTTTCTGGGTGGATCCGTCACTGGGGAGAGGCGCGCTTGGTATGCGGCGCAGTTGGAATACGATGTTGGGCCTAAGTAGTTGGACTGACCCGGTGGATGACTAGTAACCCTAGCACGCCCGGATGTTGTTGGGCTAGCCATGCGAACTTGAACGCTGGTGATATGCACTAATTAGTAGTGCATAAGTGTATGTTTTTATGTTTGATTTGTGTGTATTATTTATCGTTTTATTTAGTTTGTAAACATTTGTGTGATTTTAGTTGTAATTGTATTTTAATCTTCATTTATAAGTTGTAAAATAGATTTAGGATTTTTATGGTGTTGGAAAAGAGGACTTTGAAGAGAATAAAACAAGAAATTTGACTGCCCAGGAGCAAAACCCGACCGGGTAGAAATCCCCACCCGGTCGGGTAAGATTTAACAACCGAAGAAGCAAGGAAATTGCCAGACCCGGTCGGGTCCCCTACTTGACCCGGTCGGGTCAGATGTGACCCGGAACATCAGAACATGCCGAAGATCGCCAGAACGTGGGAAATATTTGATTTTGACATTTACCCGGTCGGGTGGGCACTTGACCCGGTCGGGTAAATGCCCCAGGGTGTTGAAAACACCTATAAATAGCCCCATTTTCCTTCACTTTTCATAATGACTCCTTCCTTTATACTCTTAAGCTCAGTTTAGAATAGTATTTCTCTATATTTCTTTTAGCATGTTTAGTCTCCAAATGAGGAGCTAAACTTCCATTTCTTGGTGTTGCTCTTGAAGCTTGTTGATTATTAAAGTTGTGAGTTATTTTCTTAACTTCTTCCCTTGAATATTAATTATTCTCTTAATCTATCTATATATTAATGTTGGGGAGTGTTGCTAAGATGACAATTAGTTAACATCTCGACATTAATTATGGTAGTATTTATTTTCTTCCTCTATATATTAATGTTGGGGAGTGTTGCTAAGATGACAATTAGATAACATCTTGACATTAGTTATAGTCAATGTTCTAAAAGGCGCTAGGCGCTAGTCGGGCGCCAGCCCAGCGCCTAGGCGGCTAGGCGGGTGCCTAGTCGGGGACTAATCGGAGACATAGAAATTACATTTTTATCTATATTTTGCATAAATATGATAAGTAATATTTTATTTTTGTGTATATAAAATATATATATATATATATATATATATATATATATATATATATATATATATATATATATATATATATATATATATATATATATATATATATATATATATATATATATATAGGGTACGGTTCCGGTGAGAATGAAGCTTTAGGAGAGGGAAAAAGAATAAATAACTACCGTTGAGATTCTTGATCTAATGGTCAAATTTGATTATTCAATTAATGATTAAATTCCGAAAATCAAGGACATTGATTGACGTAATTATATGACTACGGAGTAATTTGTTAGGCGAAGGGTTTATATGTAATTCTGAAATCCACCTGTTGCTTTTACATGGGGAAGTTATTCATCACAATTGGGAAATTTCCGTTGGAAAAAGTAGCCAATTTATTGTTTCCATTTTAATAAGTGGTCAATACCCGTAACTAATTATTCACGTAAGTTTTTTTATCATTTTAGAAAATCATGCGTCATTAATAGCACTCATGGAACAAAACATTAGTAATAGTGGAATTCGTGTAGCTTATGATGTTAGTGCACAATTTCTATCAAACAATTCAACCTTTCCCTAATTTAAAATCCATTTAAATAAATAAATAACTTTTAACAAATAAACTTTCACCATGCAGAATGAACACATAAGTTTGCACTTTTACACCAGATACATGCACATCATGCTTGTGAAGATTTTTACAGTGAACTTTAATAGTAAAAACAATGCACTTTTATTTGAATCATTATGCACTTTGAATATAATATAATGTTTGTCTCCAATAAATGTGATAATAGATTATGGATAGGTGTTAGCGCAAGAGTTATGCACTGTATATACATTTAATTAAATGCGATAAAGATTCAAATGCACTATGTATGCACATTGAATGAAAGAGTTATGCACTTTATATACATTTTCTAAATGTAATAGTATGTTACCGAATTATGCACTTTATAGGTGTACAAGTGCAAGAAAAAATGTGTGCACATCTAGTTACCGAATTATGCACTTTATATACATTTTCTAAACATAATTCTAGACTGTTAGTAATAGTTACTTTTAATATACCAAAAGCACGACTTTTGAATAAAAAGAAATGCCAGTTAAAAGAAATACCAAAGTTTCGAATAAAACAAAACCATTTTTTAAAACCAAAATTATTCGGTTAAAATATAAAAGAAAGATTCAAAAAGAATAGTTCGTAAAAATGTAAAAAAAAAAAAAAGGTAAGCAATGTAAAAAAAAAGTTGACAACTTTCAAAGGAAAGCAAGTTGTGAATAACGTAAATTGTACGTGGGAAGCGTAACTGCCGGAGCAAAATAAGGAATATGTGTGAAATGTCTTATAAGCCCAAAGAGTATAACCGTAACCTTCCATATTCCTATGTTAATCTAATGGTTGATATCTATTCTTTTTTCCTCTCCTAAGATTAAGTTCTCACATGAACCTAAATCTATATATATATATATATATATACTTATACATTACCAAATATGAAAGATAGAATTATCACATTTAATCATACGTAGTATATGATAACTAATCACTTAACATCATTATGTTATAAATATAAATAATGATAAAATGTAGGTATATATACAAACATGTATAGTTTTATCTTAATTTACAACTTCATTTCTTTATATCCATGGCTAAAGTTAAAGTATGTATATTGCTTGGAAAAGTAAAATTAAAAAGTAAAGTAATGTTCGGCGAATCTAGACGGCCTAGGCGGCCAATTAGGCGTTCTAGGCGGGTAACTAGGCGCCACAGGCGGCCGACTAATTCACCTAGGCGGCAAACCAATTAGTCGGAGCGCCTAGATGAAAATTGGGGCGCCCGACCACCGCCTAGCGCCTAGGCGGGGACTAGTCGGGCGCCTAGAACGATTTTTAGAACAGAGGTTATAGTAGGATTATTCATATTTAATCTTCTTCCTTGAATATTAATTCTTCCCTTAATCTATCTCTATATTAATGTTGGGGAGTGTTGCTAAGATGACAATTAGTTAACATCTCGACATTAATTACTACTAGAAACGATCAACGAACCGATGGTTAATCGTTGATGGCTTCACAAGTAAGTAACTTCGGTTTATTAATGCACGGTCGTGGTTAATAAACTTAAGAGGGATTAATTTTGTTGGTTAAACCGAAACTGTTGTGTTGAGGTTATCAATCTCAATTGATTTCATCAAGAAGTTAAGAGATTAAATGCTACTATTAAGTCGGTATATGGCGGTGTTCTATACTTGACTAATAGTAAGGGTTATTAATGAACGGTCGTTGTTAATAACTACCCTTGATGAATTGGATATACTCCTCGATTGAGTATTCGAGAGGGAATAAGTTATAGATATAACAATGATCGACTAAAATATATCAACAAGTGGAAAGTAGCAATGCCAAGTCCTTTTTATCTTTGAATTAAATCACATATAAATTGTTCATCTTTGTGTTTAATCAAATTAAATCACTCAATTCTAAAACCCCCCTTTTATTTACTAGTTTTATAAAAAGAGAATTATTTCCTTTTCCTGTGGATACGAACTCTACTTCACCTATACTACGTATAAGTGTTAGTATTGAATTTATTTTGACGCACCGTGACAAAGTGCACGTCAACTGGCTTTGACTGTATTGGAATTTGAGATACGGAATTTGAACCGCTACGGGAGTGGACTTTCCAGATTCGCTGATGGATAAGGGCTGGCTTTTACTAGTTGTCCACTTGTCCCTAGGTCTGTTTGTGGGCTGGGTTAAAGGGTCCTATTTATATTTTGATTTGTTGGACTGATGTTTTTTATACTAAGCGGATGCCTGTCCCGTGCTAGTTTGGATTTTTTGATTGTTTTCTAAATAATCTCTGATTCTACCCATGCCGCAAGGCGGGGGTGGTGGAGAGGGGAACGTTGGATACTATTTTTGGTTAGACTAGCTAGTTTAAATAGTTTTTGATCATTTTTCGATACATTGTAAGATGTTATTTTCGAGTGATTTTAATATATTTAACTTGCATCCAAGAAAAACTAAAACAACCTTTATCATAGTTTCATACTTTTATTGTTCGGTCAATGTTGGAGTCCTCGGGGAATCGTCATCCTTTTTAATTAGTATAGAGCCCTTAAAACTTAAATTCACTATTAGAGTTTCTAAAACATCATCAAATATCATGACCTTCAATTCGGCCCCCACGGAACAGCTAGGACGATTGACTAATTAGCAGATGCTCAAAAATCGCTCTTGGTTAAGTCAATGGCGGTTGAGATATCTGGACACTGTGTGGATAAATCCGCGACAAAAGGGGCAAGTCTTTGCTTTCCCTTCGATAATCCTGCACAACCACAATTTCTCCTTATAAACATATATGTACCTAATAACATCTCCAGCCCAATTAATATGTAATACGAAGTACACATCAAGGTGTATTTTTCATTTTTGCTATTCACGTTTTCTTATTTTTGGGTAAATTTTCTTACAACTCCAATTAATATGTAATACGAAGTACACATCAAGTGTGTATTTGTATATAGAAAAGTTCTATTTATACACATCGAGTTACATCTCCGATTACACCCAGTTTATTTGCTTTTCACACAAATTAAAAAAGTATAAATATGGACATTTTTCGCCAAAATTTGTTTGTGTAAACAAAATTTGTTTGTGTCGACAAAATTTATCGGTAAACATATTTCGCACAGACAAAAATAAATGCACACATACACTTTTTGTGTGCATACAAACACCTAGTTTCTATATACATACATTGATTTCGTGCAACTTAATCGGACTTTTTCTGCAAAAAAAAAAAAAGCACACCAATTAATGTTATTTGCTTGGAAACCAATGTTTGCACACACAAAAAGTGTATGTGCACATGTATTTTTGTCTATGCGCAAATATGTTTACAGTCAAATTATGTTATACAGACAAATTTTGTTCGCATAGAAAAATTTTATGGAAAAGCGTCTATAATTGTACTTTTTTGTTTGTGTGACTGCTAAATAAATATGGTGTAACTTGAGGTGGAACCAAGAGTGTACACCAAGCACTACTGTTGTAAATATTGTGTTTGACACGCTAAATACATTTTACTAAACAACACTGGAAAGGAATAAATAAACAATATAATAGAGCTCATTTGGCAACATTGAAATTGATTGATTCGATTGAAACTATTGAAATTGATGAAATGAAGGAAAAATCTGTTGAGTTGTCAAAAATTGTGTTTAAAATGTATTTTATTTATAAAGTTTATAAAATAATCAAGATGGCCATCTACAATGACTTCAGAAAAGTAATTCTAACCTTACTAAGTTAACTAGATTCTTTACCCGTACATTGCACGAGATGTATATGTTATATGTTTAACGAATAGTTTCACCAACTCGGATTTGCATTTGTTAAAAATTTGGGATGGATTTTTTAAAACACAAAGTTTGACAAAGTTGGGATCACTCGTACTAACAAAAATACTTGTCATTAGATATATAAATATTTTGTTACATATTTGTCTTTATATAATATATTTACAAAGGATTCAAGCAATTGAGTCACGCTAAAAATGTTACTGATCAAAGTTTTGTAAAAATTCAATAAGCAAAAACGTTAATTGACAGTATAGATTTAAAAATCAAAATTTTCACATTGTCAAACACCCAATATTCATATGTAAGGACTAAGGAGTATGTATTACATTTTCATAATATTAGTAGAAAAAGTAACTCTTTAAAGGTGTATACTTATCATTGATCATACCATTTCCCATCAAGATTAGAAAATAAACAAAATAATTACATGTTTTCGAAGTTGTACGACCTCACCTATAGTCAATCATGTAATGTATAACTGAATCTTTTTGATTATTATCAATCATATATGGAGAAAGAATTACACAATGAATCAATATTGTACTCAAAATGTTCATCGTTGCTTTCGAATTCTTAAGAATTACTATTAAGATATACAAATCAATGAATATTATAAAATCGTTATAATTCATCTCATTAAAAAATGTCAATTTTAGAGAAAAAGATTCAACTTATGTTAAAGAAAAAGACATATTACTATGACGTGCCTCCTTACAGACACACTTCATAAAATGAAGATTTTTTATATAATTTTACAGGAATAAAATTCTTGAACAAAAACATGACTAAACTTATTAATTATGACTATGACTTCATATATATAAAATTGTGTCATTATTTCCATAAAAAACAGTCAATGTAATTAAACATAAATACATACGTAAACTAAAAAATTTAGTAAAATTAAACAAACAACATATTTGCTACAATCAATAATTATGATCTTGAATCAGGAATGTAATTAGCCAGCAAAAAATTTCACTCATCTAAAGGGTCAAGAGCAAGATACTCAATTCCGACCATCTTGATCTCTAATAAGAGGCCTAAGTGCCTTAGAGAAACCCAATAAAATAAATTATAATGTTAAATACTTAAATAACTAAACTAAAATAGTCAACGTAATATAAAAATAATAATTAATTATAGATTAAAATATATACACTAATAAGAAATGTATAAAATTTTAATTATTATATATAATGGTTCCTTAACGGTTCCAAGTACATGTTTTTTCCAGGAACCGAGAACCGAACCGTTAATAAGAAATAGGAACCGAACAGTTAACAAGTAGCTAATAAATGTTGGAACCCAACCGAACCGGGTCATAACGGCTTAGTCCGGTTCGATTCTCCGGTTCTTGGTTCTAAAGTCCTAGCCCTACTATATTTTTACTTTACTAATCAAATACTACCTCCGTCCCTTTTATATTGGGACGGAATAGGGTGACACCGTTATTAAGAAAAGTGAGTTTGTGTGATTGATATTAATTGATAAAGTAAGAATAAAATAAGAATGATTTATAGCCACACAAACTTTACCAAATATGCTATGAGACAATTTTAGTGGGACTTCCCAAAAAGATAAAACGGGACAATAAAACGGGGACGGAGGGATTATCCTTTATGAACTTTCTTCCCATTTTTGTTTTCGAGATGTCACAAAACTTTCTTTTTATTTTCTTACAAGAAATAATTTGCTAGATTGATATTTTTCACCTTCTTTAATTTTGAAGTCAAACAAAACCATCAACATTTTAATGAGAATCTTAAATCAAACTGAGGAGATTTTGGGAGGGAAAGATAACTTTTAACAATTGAACAAGTCTTACTATTTACGTCACTATATCAAATGAAGCAATTTTAGTCGTTTCCACCAAATACACTCCCATTTTCCCAACCACCGCGCTTAATTATCCATAACGTAATGATCTTAAATGTATGAGATTAGCAAAGTTGCATTTTTCGAAAAAAGACACAGTAGTAGTGTTCGGTAAATCGTAGATCAACCACTTATATTGAATTGAGTTGTGTCAGAGTAAATTTTAGTGTTTGATAAACAACTTTTTAATTTTATATTTCCGCCTTTGTAGTCTTTGAACAATTGAACAAATCCTAATTTAAAAGTTAAAACCCGTTTGAATGAAGTGTTTTGAGATTATAGTAACACAAGTGTTAGGAAGTGTGGATGCGGGAAAGAAAGGGAAACTAAATGATTCTGTTGAAATTTATGAAGTTCTGGCTGAAGTGGTTGCGTTGGCTGATTCTGCTGACTTAAGAAAAAAATATTTTTTAAATATATTTTATTAATAAAATAAAGAAAAATTTATATGTAAAAATAGCTAAAATGATCATCTAAAGTAATTTCAGCCAATACAGCCAGAAAAGTAACTTCAACCTTACTTTTTCTGCTTATTACACAATTCAGCTCGCGAAAGCAAAAATTACGCGTTTGGTAAAAAAGTTGGCTGATAAGCCTGATAAACCGGAAACCAGTGTTGCCAAACGCTCTCTAAGTGTAAAATATAAAATATCATAGATGAACGGCAGAAAAAATAATGGGGAGAATTGTCCAACACTTAAATACACCCCAATTTGGAGTGTTAAAAAAGTGGCACATTGAAGTGCTAAGAAGGCATCTCTTGCTACGTAACATTTAACATTATTAACACTTCAACGTTTTTTAATTTTGTTTTCCAAACAAGTGTTCCAGCGTGTAACCCCGGTTCGATGACTCTATTGTCACACATAGAAATAATGTAGGTGTGACAATATTAAAACCTTATCTTATCTTAAACGGTTTTATACTGAAATGTCAGTGACCAACATACTTACCTTTTGGTACATGAAGAGCAGGTGGCGCAGTGACCACATGGGACGAAAAGCCAACTCCGTCTTTTGTCGTAGCAAATCACACACACCTTCCCGTCGTACAAATCCTCACCTGAACTGCTCCGGCTGTACGTCGCCGGCTCTTCCTCCTCGTCTTCGTCGAACACTCCGTACATGATCCGACCCGCCTCTTTCTCCAGCAACCGGCCCCTCTCCGCCGCCTCTGTTCCCCCCTCCGCCGCCGCTCCCTCGTCGCAGAAGCCCAGCAGCTTCACCGTTAGCGCTATCACCATCAGCAACACCGCTATAGACATTTCCCCAAACATATAAATTAAAAACATATAAAGTTTCAATAATAATGATAATTCAATTGATAATTAAACTTGATCGAATTGCTGACCCAGGACGGTAACGTAAATGAAAACTAGAAGACCAAATTCAAATGCAGTCTTCTGTTCATCTTGATAGTCCTGTGAATACACCCATTTTTGCATATGAGCAATTATTAAAAATGGCGATTGATCGGTTGATTTAATAAATGGGAGTGAATTGAAATCATAAGAAAAGGGTGGGTTTACTTTTTTTTTAGCATGATCTTGTATAATAATTACCTCGAAAGAAGATGTGATCGGAAAGTTCATCCCCGGCGCCAGAGGAGTAGCTCGCGGCTGTTTCCAGAGTAGATTCTTTCTTAGCTTGGTCCTGCCTCTACTTTTTAAAAAAAGGATAGAGCCAAGGAAGGTAGAAATGGAGATACGGAGTAATAAATTGTGGGTTTCAGTATAACTTGGACTTTAGGATAAAGGACAAGAGTTACTAGTTAGCAGTAAAATTTTCTCACATTTTTTTATAAAAGACACTCATACTTACACTTTACTTTATATTGATATCGAACTGTGAAAGTATACATATTTGTGGCAACGGTTTCGTTTTGGTGCGGAGAATATGCAAAAAATAGTCGATAGTAGGTAAGTTGTGATGCTATCTAGCTATGTGTCCACTAAGTAGTGACGAGCAATAAGAATGGGTTGGAGAATGGGAGTATATATAGTGATAAAAAGGGACGGTGCAAATATCGTATTTGCGTTGATAAAACTGGACGGTGCAATAGATATTTCAACTATCTAGGAAATTTATTTGCGACCTTCACAATTAAGATTCAATTAAGATTCTACTTGGTAACACTATTTTTGGACTTATTACATAACTTTTGCTTTCGCGCGCTGAATTGTGTAATAAACAGAAAAAGTAAGGTTGAAGTTACTTTTCTGGTTGTATTGGCTGAATTTATGTAGATGATCATTTTAGTTATTTTTACATATATATTTTTCTTTATTTTATTAATAAAATATATATTAAAAATATTTTTTCTTAAATCAGCCAATGCAACCACTTCAGCCAGAACTTCATAAATTTCAGCATAATCAGCCAAATCAACTGATTTTTGTTCTACCAAATGGGCTCCCGTTTTTCCATAACGTGTCAATTTTGTCTATATATTCAAAGCGCAGGATTACACTTACCCGATCCATCCCATATACCATTCATTCACTTCTTTGTACTCCGTATTATGTTTGTTGTACGATTCATGGTCGGATCGTATGTATATGATTTTGATAGAAGTTGATCCTTGAGTTTATCATCTGTTTATTATACCGAGTAACATGAAAAAAAATCTCTTGAAATTCAGTTTTCTTGTGATCAAAATTCACGCAGGTTCCAGATGATGTATGTTGTTTTGGAAGAACGAGAGTACAAAAGACTCCTAATTGTGAAGGTCACAATTAAATTTCCTATATGGGTGTATTTATTATGTTGTATGGAGTAATTACCCATTTAAATCCCAAAACAAACTACTTTTCTATCCCAAACATATATACCCAGTGTCTCATTTTAAGTCCCTTTTTTGTTTGCCCAGGTGGTCCGATCAAACTAGACTAATCATGGGCTATGAAGAATCCACATCAAACCCTTAAGAGAAGTAAAATTAGGTTATTACCACCATCTTTACACCGCGCACAAGAAATCGTCCTTAACTAATTGTTGCGCGTGTCGCTTGAGGTGAGATGAAACCTTGATTGTGTACTGGAGTTAGTCCCGGGAGCTAGAGGATCATTTTTTTGAGAAAAATCTCTCAAATTCACATCCTTAGTCTTGACTTAAACTCAAGACCTCCCCCCACAATAGGAGGATTTAAGTGTGGGAAGTAGTCTACTTGGACTGCTCCATTTGATAGAGGATTTGTTTATAACATGTAAATTATATTGAAAATTGAATGATACAATTAATTATATAAGGTGAAATATATTAAGAAAAAATAAATAGAATGATATTTATATTTAGATAAAAAGTTGCATGTATAGGATATTAGGATAGTTGTACTTGTGGTGAAGCTGTAACTTATTTATATTTAGAGCACGTTTGGTAATACTAAAATTGATTGAATCGGTTGATTTTATTGAAATTTATGAAGTTCTATCTGAAGTGGCTGTATTGGCTGATTCTGCTGATTTATGAAAAAGTTATATTTAAAATATCTTGTATTAATAAAAAAAAAGAAAAATTATACTTCCTATGAAAATAGCTAAAATGATCCTCTACAGTAACTTCAGTCAGTATAAGCAGAAAAGTAACTTTAACCTTACCTTTTCTTATTATTACACTTCAGCGCGCGAAATCAAAGTTATGAGTTTGGTGAAAAATTTGACCGATAAGCCTGATAAATCGAAAAATATAATCACCAAACAAGCTCTTAGTTATAGCATAAATGTTTGAAGCAGGTGCTGAGGTGTGTCATTCTTTTTTATTGATGGGTATGCATGCGTAAACCATATTTTTCGACGTACACTTTCCATTTGAGTAATTATCATCAATTAATAAAATCATACGAGTTTCTCAAAACAAAGCAAAAAATGGGGGGTCATGGGCAACGTCCTTGTGAACATCTCGGCATCTCCAGATACTTTAATTTTCTACAGGATATAATGATATGTACTTTACAAGTCTTCTAAGCTAAGCATTGCAACTTTGCAAGCCCGGAAATAAAACTTGATGTACGCGTAGCTTGTGAGTTACTCAAAAGTGTATTAGATCACATAGGCAATATGTGAATAATTGATGTCATGTCTAGAATAACTAAATATAGGCAATATGTAAATTGAGTACTTATAATGTGTGTGTGAATTCTTCCAAAAAAAATGTGTGTGTGATGAACATACGATTAAAATATGGTATGGCGGTGAAGAGGACATATATAATCATGTCTTAATCCCCGGAGTCTTAAATTTTAATGAGCATTCAGATTTGATTGATTGGGCCATTTTAGAGTTCAGGAGTTTGAATATATATAGACATATAGTAGTGCATGACTTAAATACTTAGAAAAGGAAGTGGTTAGATTATTTTTAAATGTGATACTCTTATATAATAGCAATCCCTCCCGCTAAGATTGTACGTAGTATAATCTTTCCTTTTCGATCCGTCTGACTAAGAATGTTTCATACCAAATTGGTAAAGTTTTTATATATTGGTCTAAATGATTCTTACTTTATTACATTATCAATTTAATATCAACCACACAAACCCACTTTTCTTAATAACCGTATTAATCTCTCATTTTCCAATGTTAGTGGAAATATTATTTATATTTCATAGATTTGCAAACATCTATTTTTTTTAGCATTAATTATTAATAAGATAGACTAATGAACTATTCATTTACCTTGAAGTTAAGTGGTCTGATTTGAATATGTCCAGTCATCTCATCTTGTTTAAATTGGCCTAGCCTCATGACCGGTTCTAGTCTAGTCCAATTAAATATGATATGTTGTGATGTGAACTAGTCCAAAGTAGTTCTGATCTGAACTAGTCGGACCACTATTAACAGATGATCATCTCTAATTCTCTATATCATTTCACAAGGTAGTAAATTTAAAAAATCATAAATGTCATTGTAGGTTTATTATGGTATTGACAATTTTTTATATCACTAATAATTAGTTTAGACGTCATTGACATTGTCGCTACCACCGTTGTCGCCATCATCGCCACCAATGTTACTACTATCGTGGAACATGTAGTTGTGAGCCCCAACGAATCTTTTTTATAAAAAAATGAAAAAAAAGGGAAATAGATTACAACAACTTTAGAGGGTCTAGCTTCGGCTTTTGACGGTTATTTCTTGAGATAGTTGAATAGAGGGTTGTCAAAGATTACTACTTTACAAAGATTAAATATGTTTTTAGTCCCTGTAAATATTTTGTTTTACACCCCTATTTTTTCATCATTGAAATATAAGTTAGTTTTCTTTATAGTCTATCACCGATGATGACAACTTATGTTTGACAATGAAAGTACGAAAAAATTCCGACTGTTAAGTTTTTTACTGTAATTCTATGTCATGTTATTAAAAAATTATTCAATTTAATTTATAGAAGGTTTTTAATATATTTTTATAATATGATGAATTAGATTTAAATTATTTTAACTCTCATAAAACCCTATAAAAACTTATAAAAATTAAATTTAAAAATTTCAGTAGATTTATGCAACCGATAGTAATTTTATTCTAGCTTTTGAAGTTAGAAATGGACTAAAAATAAAATAATGTATATTACATGAAAACAAAAAATATTACAAAAACCTAAAATAAAAGTGCCATATTTGCCAGGACTGAAAACATTTTTAAATCAAGATGAAATTTTAATTAATTAAACATAAATTGACCACATTTTTCTTATTAGTATCACTTTTTATAAAGATTTGTTATTCAATTGAGGTATCTCAAGTCTGGTTTGGGATTCTCAGTGCCTTGTATAGAGTACTTGCCCAAATAAAGAGTAGGGAATGAAAACAAGGTCTCAAAATTCATGAAGTAGACTCTTTCATCTTTAATCGGGTGCCTTGCTTTTGCCTTGCTGCCATATATAGCAAGAGATCTTGAATCCCTCAAATCCTTTATTTTCATTAGCCCTTTTGATTTGCTTGGAACAAAATGAGTAGATGAGAATGAAATCCAATTTATAATTTGTTCGTGTTTTCATGTATTTTGGAATTGTAGCATCTCAATATGATGAAACACATACAGTTAAATATGAGGGATTTTCTTGAGAAAACCTAGAAATATAACTATGATATATATATATTTATGTAACATGTCATATTTAATTGGACTAGTTCAAAAATTATAATGAACTACTAGTACTTGTGAATAGTCATGGACCCGGTTCGGGCCGCCCGGCCCGGGACCGGCCCGGCCCGCCACTGTGCGGGCCCGGAACCGGCCCGGTTCTCGGGTCGGGGTCCGGGTCGGGCCTAGGCCCGGTGGGGGGCGGGTCCGGGCTCGGGCCTTGTATTTGACGAACTGGCCCGGCCAGGTCAGGCCCGGGTCCGGGCCAAAAACTATTTTTTTTTGTTTTTTCATTTTTTGGGCTTTATTGAGTTGGGCTTGATGTTTAGGACCGGTTTGGGGGGTTTGGGGTGGGGGGGTAGGGGGTAGGGGGGGGAGAAAAGAATAGGAAAAAAAAACTAACCAGGTGGCCCGGCCCGGCCTGGTCCGGCCCGGAACCGGTGGCAACCGGTTCGGGCTCGGGCCCAACAAAACAGACCCGAGGCCCGGCCAGGCCCAGGCCCGAACTGGGCCTGAACCGGCCCGAGGCCATCCCTGCTTGTGAACATGATATCCATTCTTGTAATGCAAGTATTTTGGCCTCTTTGACATGAAGTCCAGGTTAAAACTAATTTATAATTTTGATATTCTAGATTCAAAATTTAAATTAAGGAAACTTTATTAAATGTCATTATATTTGTTCAGATAAGAATAATAAATATATACTTGTAAGTTTATGTGATACAAAACCATGTACAACGATCAGCCTTTATCTCAAATAATAAAAATAATAATTTACCAAGTGTAGGCAACTAAAATAGAAACGGTTATCAAAACGTATAAAAATATCTTTTGAGTTAATACACATATCCTAAAGCTAACAGCTCAAATTTGCTAGTTAGAAATTTGAATAAAATCCAAAGATAAAGAGTACAGAAATGTTTGTGTGTTAAAAAAAACTAACCCTCGTCATTTAGAATTGGATGGAAGTTCAAAGACATTTCCCAAAGTAGCAGGTTAGCTTGTGTACAAAGATCACAATCATTACAAGTCTTGACTGGAACAAGAAACATGGAAGAAAAGAGTCATTACAAGTTTATCTCCATTTCAAAGAGGCCCCAAGTGTCCTATTGTGCAATGAGCCAGCCAATGATGTCAACCATGTAATTTACATTCGTCAGCTTCTTTAACCTGTGAGAATAAACAGATACAGAAAAAGAAGTGAAGTACTGCCAACCACCGTCGTGTTTGCATGAGAGCGAGAGAGAATGATACCAACAACAATCAAGATGATGCCTTGATCTCCCTCTTCATCAACTCAGCAGCATAACTTTTAACCTCTCGTATGTTCTAAGTAGTGAAGGGCTTGCCAACTTCAGTAGTCGGGATATAATTATAAACAGAAAACGCTGACATTTAACAAAGGAAGAAAGAAGGATATCTTTTCATCATGAATGGGATGGTTGAGCATCAGCAGCTTATTGTTATTCACAATAGACCGAACTAATAGTTCTTTCGCTTCCTCATGCATTTTCCGAAGCATGTTGCATATCTGCAGACAGCCAGAAATTAATTATTTACTTTTAGACAAGGCAGTCACACTTCACCCATATAACTGCATAATATTTTAAGTTTTAACGCAGCAGTTCATGAATAGTCAAAGATGATTACATCTTCAAGTGCCTTTGTATATGTTTCAGCCTTGTCTACATTATCATCATCTTCCAATGTTTGAAGGTCTCCTAATTCTTTTCTGTTCACAGGCTTATGAATATCAAGTGCAGACGCTGGAGAACTTTTACATTCAGCTCTCTGGCTACCGATGGTCTGGTCCTCTCTGTAATTGTCCTGTAAGTTATGAGAAAAAGTATGTTGGTCCTGTAAGTATGTAAATGGGCAGCTTATAAAAAAGAAGAATTGGAGTTTGCACCCCATTTTTCATCCAAAATTAACTTCTCTCCATTTTTAAAATCATTACTACTTGAATCCCTATTATGATAAACTTTTAATAGGTGTTAAGATTGTTTATATTGCAACCAAACAGAATGCACCCAAAGAGTTCACACCTGGCTTTAAACCTTGTTAATGGATTATCCTAAAGGTGGAGTGCATATATTACTGATTTCAAAGAATTGTCTCAAGCATCTTAATGAATTTATCGTTTGAGTCACCTTTTTGGCAACAATTCTTTCTGAAATTCCACAAATATCCCTGTTTCCATTTGTTGGTGATTCTGGGGGATGCTTAAAAGGACTAGTCATTATCACTCCTCCCGTAATCTGCAAAATACATAATGAAAATAGAATTAAGCGACATTAAATTTGTGAGAATTCTATAATCACACCCTTGTAGAAGCAGAACTATTTAAAAAGAACTGTTTCAAAAGGGACTATTTTAATGGTGCAAGCTGGAGAGTTTGGAGTTATCCTTGAAAATAACACACCTCTGGTCTTTTCCGTTTTAGAGGTGTGACGTTTGTCTTCTGTGTGGTTGTTGTGATAGAACTACTAACTTTAGCTTGTAACATAGACTTTAGACCAGTGTTCTGATCAAAGTGCCTTGAGGTTCTGTCATCTTTCAGCAAAAATGATTGGGATACAGAAAGACTTGCTCCCAAATTTCTGTATTGGCACAAATCGTTCATAAAATTTTCAAAATCCACATGAAAGAATAGCATACGGAAATTAAACAAGTCAAAACATGATGTGTACAAGTAATATAGTCAGATATTCAATGTAATACTTGGAAAGGTTTTGGCTAGAGGAATCCAGTGTCTGACTGCCTCCAAATTTTGGGCTAGAGGATTCCAGTGACTGACTGCTAGCTTTAATAGGACAGTTTTTGTTGCCACCAACAGGAATGTTCTTTGCTGTTGCCGAAGAAACAGAACTTTCTATGACTCTTGGGTTTCCAGTGTTGTGTAGCATGGATTTACCTTGCTGGATTATACTCAAAGGCTTGACATGAGAACTAATGAAAAACATTCTTATGAGTGATAAGAATTTTACATATAAGCATTTGCTAGTACTAAGCATGTTAAAGGACATATAGAGTTTGTAACATAGATGCATGCGAACAAGAAATAAACAAGTTTAATTAGAGGAAAAGGTAAGCAGAGGGAGTAGCTTTAATACAGAGACTCACAGGAATCCTGAAACAAATTATCATTGTTTACCAACCAATGCTGAGTAATCAAAAGGCTGTCAAAAGGATCCAGTTCTTGTTACCAGGTGAAGCACGCAATGAATGGCAGACAATATAAGCACATTTACTCTAACAGAAAAGCTATTTCTTTACAAGAGATACAAGATAGTCGAGTGCAAGAACTATGTCCCGCCGAGTGCACAAGAGAATTGTTATTCCAAATGATGATAAGCATTAAATATGAAAAATAATAAGCATTAAATATGAAAAAGTACTTAAGTTTCAAACACAACAAGAAAAGAGTGACGTCATACTATAGCAACTCACAATAATAAGGAAAGCTAATAAAAGGGAATGACTGATAACTTGGTGCACACTTCAAGAAAACCCGACGGTCCTTCTTGAGGTGGCGGTACTCTTGGCCCATAACATGAACACCGATTTTAGATATATAACCTGATGGTATCAATACTTAATTATTATTATTTTTCTTCTCCAAATTTCTATTAAAACAGATTTGTATATGGTTCCAAGACTCATCCTTGTGAGTTATGACCTTTGATGTAGTAACCAATGTATCCTATTGTTCTTCATTGAGACCCTAATGTCATATACTACCTCAGTCCCACTAACATTGGGACATGAGGAGATGACACGGTTGTTAAGAAAAAAGTGAGTTGATGTGTTTGATGTTTAATTGATAAAGTAAGAATAAAAGAAAAGTGATTTAGAACCACACAAACTTTACCAAATTTGATATGGGACAATCTTAGTCGGGCAGACCGAAAAGGAAAGATGAGACAATGATAGCAAGACGGAGGGAGTATAAGATATAATCGACGAAAGAGTTTGACCACTAAACAACTTATGCTAGCAGTTATGAAACTGACCAAGGTCACAATTAATAGTTTTGGAAACAAACTTCTTGAAAAAAGTGAAGTTAAACCTGAGTATAAGAAAACTCTTGTCAATAACGATCTTACATGTTAGCAGAAAGGCCTTTAAAGCTGTCCTGGCTTCCTGTCTGAAGAGTGCTAGTCTTGGATTGTGGTCTCGATCCTGGCAATGTGATACCAGCTTTCTTCCCATTTTCATCATCTTTACCATATGCCCTGTGAAGAATATTTTATTGAAATAAATTACATGTTAAGAATTTCTTTTATCAGGGTAAGTTTCCCTTACATTCCTTCATCTGCATGATTTGGTTGGCTTGAGACAATTCTTTTGCTACCAACATCAGAAACTTTTGCCTGCAACAATGATTTCTTCTGCTTTTGAGCAGTAGTCTCAATTGATGGCATGAAAAATTTGGACCGGACGGTGCTGCACTCTCCTTCTCCTTGCATCAAATTTTGATCAGATCCACTGCACAACTATGTGCCATTAACAATTCCAGATCAACACATTTAAAAGCAAAGTTTTGCAATCGAGTTTTGTAATCTATGCATAAATTTGCATTGGTTCATTTGCTAGACCAATTTGGAGTACTAGGTCCCCTAATCACTTAATTTGGTGTTTTTATCACATAAAGACAATAAAAACAGTTCCATTTGCAATTCAGAATGCTTTGATGATCTCCAATAATCAGCGAGGACAGTCAAATGCAAAGTAATTTTCTACCTGCTTGACGGGGGTTTTAGTGGCTTAGAAATAGTTTCTTCTATCTCCACATTAACTAATGTTGAATGGTCATCCTTCTTGGGACTTGCAATATAAGTACATCCAGGGTGTGTACCGTTCCCTTCTATATTGCTAACCAAAAGATGTTTCTCTTTCTCAAATTTGCCACTTTCCTGAACAGCTTCCTGTGATGCATTCTTGTGATATCTAGTCAATCTTTCAGGCATTGTTTTAGCCTCATTTGAATCCAGATTAGCTACGTGTTCAAAATCCTTATCTGTATATGAAGAATTGATATTTTCACCCATGGGACAATCTTTTTCCAGCAAGTCAGAACCTCCTTTGCTGTTTAACTTGTGTCCAGAAGAATGGTCATATACATCTGCTGTGGCTTCAGGAGCAACTAATTGTGGAGAGGTTCCCTTCTCTATTTGCAACTCTGTTGGTTGTGTGTTTGTAGATGTGCTTCTTTTTGGTGAGGTTCTTGTACGCAATAAATCAGATGCATGAGTAACGGTGGTGAAAGATATTGATGTGTCAGTGTTATTTGCAGTACGCTCTGAAGATAAATTCTTCCTAATAGAATCAGGCGTAAGACCACTAGCAGCCGAAGAATCAGCTGTTGAAGTCATCTCCGTCACGGAGTGCTTTTTGGGTGCGCCAGCGTCAAGTACACCAACATCTTCAGTCAGATGGACTACAGAGCCTTGATGTGCATTTGTTTCGGAAGAACCTTCAATTTCTAGATCCTTCTTACTTTGATCTTCTTTCCTCGGGCTTGACTGAAGACTAAAAATGTCCAACCTAAGCCCCACGAGAGGAAGAAGATGGAGAAAGGTGATTAGCCATGCTATGTTTGGTAAAGTACGAGCGGCTTTGGCAACACTAGAAGTGTGAAGTTCTGACTTACTCCTTAAAATCAAAGTGAAAGTTAAAGCCATCTGTCTTCCCCTTATTACTGGCACCAGAAGATTCTTTGGGTTTCTCCTTTGCCTTTCCATTTTTCTTGGATGGAGAAGAAATATCAAGGTCTGACATGTCAATATTGAAGGACGGCATCTTGCTAAAATCACTGTCAAGATTGAAATCCATATCCCTGTTGAAAAATTAATATATTAGATTATTATATGTTGACCTTAGTACAAAAACCAAGTATAGTAGTGAGATGGCTCAGGTTGCACAGAAAACCATGGTCAAAAACTAAGAATAAGTCTGATGTAGAATAGAAACTGGAAGCACGTGCAAAGATTTGAGATCACCTCTACATCATAGATACCTACCAGCCCAACACATTAATGCAATTAAGTAAGTCAGGATAAGGAATGATAAAACTATGCAGCAATTACTCTTGATCAAAGTTGAATGCTTTTTTCTTATTCTTGGAAATAGGCCCAAAGTCAAAATCCATAGCATCGTCCCCAATAGAAATGGACTTCCATGAGTTCAGAAAGTCGTTTCCAATGTCAAGATCTGTAGCAAATATCATGGAAAATCATAACTATAATGCACCAGAATCCATAGACAACACGAAGGAGAGAGAAAACACTTTGTAGACTTTTCAATTTAAAAATATGCAGTTTGTTATTCTTCTTCAATAGTTTACACAGCCTAGCATATCATTGTTTTTCAAGCTAAGGCATTTTATATGTTCTTCCTGCATATGCCAAAAATTGCAATGCGAGGGTATGCCAAAATTTGCAATTCGAGGTTTATGCCAAATGTACCAGACACCGGACTTCCTCCCCCACACAGACATCCACATCAAATCTATGAAACTGGAAAACCCTGCAGAACTCTGTTTCTTTAAGAGTGAGGTTTCAATGAGAACAACCATATAGGAGATCAGAATACCTAGCAATGAGTTTTTCTCTTTTGAATTGGCAGATGAAGAAGTTCTCTTCTCAGTCTCTGCCATCTGGGATAGAGATTTTAAAACGTCACTAAAAAATCATAATTGTTTAGTTGTGCAGTGGCTAAATAAGGCATCAAGATACTGGTGCACAAATATAGGCGAGTAGCCGTCCAGCAAACAAATATAAGTGAAGCAAACAAATAAGTGAAAGCAAAACAATAAGGGACCCCCCCCCCCCCCCCATAAAGCAGTGTAGCTCAAAGGATTCGGATGAAATAAAACTTCAAATGCAAAACTGTCACAATTATATAAAGATGATCAAGCTTCATCCTAACTAATCTTTTGATTCTTTTAAACAGCCACTAATGCTACTCTAATTGTTAAAAAAAGCAATGACCTCATCTAACTATATAAATATCTGTTTCCCTTTTCTTATGTTGGTTAAATGAAGTGGCAGGAAAAAGAAACATGTTGGTGAGAAGAACTCCAAAACATAACTATTGCTCCAAAAGCACCAAAAATAATAGATTGAAGACAATATGGGCAACATTTGGCAAGACAATATGAGACCTCTCCACTTTGATTTGTCCATGAGAAGAGATAACCTTTAAAAAAGGTCAGACGTTTTACACATAGCATTACCTCTCAGACACTCATTCAAAGGTGGAAAAGTTTCAGAAGAACTAGTCATAAGTTAATTTAGCTGAGAACACTTTTTTGTTAACTCGATTGAAAGTTCACATCCTAGATACCTAGTATAACAACACACTTTCTGACTTGCATATACTTAATGAAACATAAAAAAATCATGACTGAAGTAGACATAGATACCAAAAGAATATTCAGAAAGTATAAAGCATAAGCAACTATCCAGTAAGTCACTTTAATGTTTTAAATGAACAGGGAGGAAGACTCATTCGAATTTATAAGATCCTATATCACTTCATCATGTTGAATATGTTTCACTTTACTCACTATCTTCAATCAAATCCAGAAAAGCTGGTCTAAATAAACCGGGCAGGAGCAGATCTAGCTTTTCAATCCAGTGGGGGCCTAATTTCCATATATAGAAAATAATTTCAATTGCAACAAAAGAGTAAATAAAAAAATAAATAGTATAAACGTTTTGCAAGAATATAAGTTTTCACCAAATGGAAATACAAACAAAAACATCACAAAATCGCACTTGTTCTCTACAGGAAAGTTGTTCACATTTCTCAAATACAAAAAACACATCCATATTATTTATATTGGTTTAAAGTATGTTTTGAAACCAATATTCATTACCTATTTCAACTCTACAATAATCCACCACATTATATGATAAGTCAGAAGTACTAAAAAGGTCCTCATAATAATTATACTAAAAGCAATGAGATTATTATTAACACCAGCTAATGAGAATATGGTGTTAATAGTGAACAATGCGATTAATAATCACAATTTTCAATCACATTAATAATAACGGGATTAATACTCAAAAATCACAAATCAAAATTACATTACTACTAATTGGACTCATACTAAACAATGAAATTTGATATACTCATAGGTAGATAAGATGATGAGACAGTAACCACAATAGCAAAAAAAATAAGAGCTCTTATTCACGGTCAAAGCAAGCATTCAAAAGAAACTTAAGATAAAGCTGAAGCTAAAAAGTAAAAACAAAATAAAAAGGGAAGAAAGCTGAAACAGACTAAAAACTAACGTGAATTTTGAAGTCCTAGCGCCGAGTAGTAGAAGACGAGTAGGCAGCAGCGGAAGAGTATGCAGACTGGAGACGGTGTGCCACGGGAACGCGTGATGGTGCCGCACGGCGGAGGATTCAGGCGGCGTGACCGAGTCAGGTACTCAGCGATGGACTAGTCCTGGCGTCCGGCGTGACCGACTAGATTGCAGAGCCGAGCGACGGGAACGAACTGATTATGGCGATCAGGAGTTGCACGTGCGAAGAGCGTGCGTTTATTAGGCGATGAGAGTGGGCCGGTCGCATTGTTTTCTTTTTTCATTAAAGTTGGGCTAATAGAGGCCCGTGTGTAGGTATTACCGCTTTCTAATTATTTTAGATATAGGCCTGCGCCCTAATTGGCCTTAGGCCCGATCCGCCCCTGGACATAGATCATGCCGCAATATGATCCATGTTTTTCATGAATATAAAAGACCACAAGTTAATGAGATCTTCACAATAATAACACTATCTAAAAATTACTTTAAAAAAATTGATTAATAGTCTCTCATACAATCAAATTATACAGTTTAGTTAAATATAACGACATGTCTGGCATAACTTTTCAAATATGGTAGCTTAGTTCAGAAAACAAAATATTCAGGGTTAGACATTTCCATCCTAAAAGGTCAATCTGATAGGAGCAGTAGTCTGATATAGTGGTTCACATTTTATCCGTATGAGACAAATACTTCAACATTCTCTTCACGATCAGCCACTTCGTTTAGAATTTGTTGTCATAGTTAATTTTTTCATCGGTTCTTCACAATTATTTTTCATTTTTTCATAATTGTCATCATTCTCATAGGGTCGCACTGTGGTTATAGACCGTTTTGGATATGATATCTTCATCCTAAATTGTGATATACGGAGGAGTATTGGTTTATATTTTATGGGTGTTTGACAAATACTTGTAAGAAAATTCTATGATTGCAAATTTAATAGAACAATATAATAACTAATGTCTAATTGGACAAAGGAGGACAACTGTCATTGTTGAGCATCATCAGATTATAAGAAAAGTGAAAATAATACAGATAAAAAATGTGAATGTACAAAAGAGTGAGGGAGAGACATTGATTTTAATTGTGTAGCTTTTGCAATTGTACGCGATTCCAATATGTTGTTCTTCCTCTTTCTGCGCCCAAGGAAAACAGAGAAGTGCAGGGCAAGTGATGGATAACCATACGGACGGGATCGTGATATATATGATCTTAACGCGCAGATACTTCAAAAAAGAATACTCCAACGCCAATAATTTATGGGACTGGTGAAATCATTAAAATGGGTATTGTCTAGCCTCTTTTTTAAAAGATGGTGATATTCATCACCTAAACATCTTAACCAAAGTAAGATAACTTTGCAAAAGGCTTGATAATGAAAACTGTGTGATTTGACCAAATGAATTTGAAATAATATTAATTGAAAGTTTATTATCATAGAGGCTGCAACAAAAATAAACTATTAGTAATAGTACCTTACAATTAGAATCAAACACGATTGGACAGAGCACATCATAAAAACCCCATAAAAATAACTCACAAAAGTTGCGCATCTATTTTCCAAGAGGCGAGCAAGTGTTTGTCAATAGTTACAAAAAAGTTTCTACCCATTTTTTTCCTAGTTAGTATTAATACACGAAAGATGGGAAGACTATTCATCAGTTATAAACTAACTCCACAAATTAAGCAACAAATTGCTATATGCGCACAAGATGTGTTAAATATATTCCAGTGGTGGAACAACTGATGTCATACGGTCCTGTTGTTATATATATAAAGATTATTGTTGTTATTGTTAGCCAGTGTTTTTGTTTTGGTATATAATAATGACTATTTAATTATTAATATTATTTGGTCAGTATAACCATTTCATCACTACTATTGTATTGAGAATGTTTCCGAAATATGAGTAAATACATTTTGAAATTTGAAAATATGATTGCAGTAACATGATCGTATTTACTGTCATCTTGTAGTCATTACTGTCAAATAATTTCAGTAATGGCCTTCTAGACATTAAACATGGAATCACAATATTTATTGTCAATAGTGATAATATTTTTCAAACATGGCAGTAATGAATCCAATTACAAGAAAAAAAAAATATAGCAGTCCTATTTTGAAATTTCAACACTTGTTTACTCCTATTAGGGCAATTTTTCTTATTGTATGTCATTTTAATTTTCTTTAATTTTTTATGTAATTATTACTTGGATGTACTATACAATTATATTTTGTTGTGTTTATGGCTATAATAACAAAAATTCATGTAATAGTAAACTTATATCGAATATTACATTATATTAAACAGTGAATAAATTTTAATTTTAACTAGAAACATATCTTATGGAAATGAAAACTATTCGGATGAGATTTACGGAGTATTTTGAAGAAAATAGTCACTATGTACAATGTAACATATTATTTTCTATAATGAAGTACGTGATAATTTTGTGACACATAAAAGGAGTGCAAAGATTATCTATTTATATTTAAAAAGAGGTGGAATTTCTGGCGGTTTTCCCGCCCAAACGCTTGGGTATAAATCCGGGTTGGGTGTGTAGCATCAAATCTTGCAAGGTTCTAGTCTGTTATTGTAATTAAATCTTTGGGTTTTGGTTACAAGTTGGGGAATCGGGACAATAAAAAAGAAACTGCAGCTCTCTGCCCAACATCAAAAGCTTTATCAGTAGCCCGTAGGCTAAAAAGACAATTCAACATTTCAGCTCCCTGCCCAATACATTTCTTGTACCGAGTGGGTGCACTACAGCTATCTCTCTGTTGAATAGATATTGCTCGATATATGGAGCTGCACAGTGGTTGTACAATAAATAATGAGTCTACAACCTTTTCACCCGACCTCGGCCTCCGTAGCAGGTGCCCAACTCCAGGAATCGCACAATGGTTGTGTGTTTTGTAACCGGTGTCACTTCCTCCAACCCAGACGATGATTTTCAGGTTCAATTTGTTATATTCCGTAGCATTTGTTGTGTAATTTCAGTAGTTAGCTCCTCAGTCTTGACCCTTCAAAACTCAAAATCATTCTATATACCACATCTTTGGTTATAAAATCTACAATCTCATCTGAAATTGTCAAGCAGTCTGAGCCGTAGGACATCAATGCAGGGCAATATACTCTTCCTATGTTTGACCCAGCAAGACGACGACCAAACTGGCCATTTGAGACAGCTCACGAAAAGGTTTCTCACGGACAAATTTCTTGATCTTGAGGTCGAGGACTGAGAACATGGGGCTCTCCTTTTCAGCTACGATGGGCACCAGCAGAGAAATGGCACCAGAATCAATGGGGAGCAGTGAAAACCAACAAACTCAAGCAGTTCCAAGGTGGAGGCTGATTGTTGGTAATACTAGCAGGTTCTATCAACCATATCCACCATTAACCCTCACAAATTTCAAACTTTTGGGTCATTAATTTTGTTGAAAGTATAAAGTTTAATCGTTGACGTTTATTGGTGTTGAAAGTAATTTTGCACTTATTTCAAACAAGTGTCACTGTTTGACACTGTTTTGTACTATGTTGTTTACCCAAAAAAGGAAAGGGGACTTTTATTCAAGGACAACCTAAAAAGGAAAGAGGGAGTTTTATTTAGGGACGGAGAGAATAGGTATTTCGTAAAGTATTTCATTTCTTTATACGTACTACTCCATATTATAAAATATAGTTTTTATACTAACTTATACTCCGTATATTTTTCGTCAACTTTTTTTTGCAGACAAAGAGACTAAGTATGGGTGCAATCAACGATTTATGCTGATAATTTGTTATTGTAATATTGTAACAAAGATTTATACGAAATGCTATGTATGAATCATCTATGTTGTACTTGCCCATTAATTCTTCTCTTATGATGTTGCAATGTGTATTTTTGTAATGATAATGAGCATTAGTTTATAAAAATACATAGTATGTTGAAGCATATGTTCAATAGTCAATTCAACTTTAGTGTTGAGACAAATTGGTTTGATTGTAATTGTGCAAGACTATGGAAGTATACTCTGTATAATACAATTTGGTAGATAAAGTAATGTCAAATGGAAATCTATGTTGGTGAAAGTGACAATTAGTAAATGTATAACAATATTGATTCATGATGTGTTTAAAAAGCTACTCCGTATAAGTTTATCACTCTTTATAATATTCATTTTTGTCCTCTTCCAAAACACCATCAATACTAACTTTCACTCTTACTAATTATTACCTTTATTATATAATACCTCATATTCTATTCTCATACATTTACACATTGTATGAAGTTTTGATGTTATTTTTTATATAAGGAAAAATTGACTGGAATAATCCGAACTATGGGCGGTCCGCTTCTAATAATCCCAACAACGAGTTATATCTGTTTAATCCCAACTTAGGGGGTAACTTTCCTAATTAAATTATGACCGGCTAGCCTAAATGATAGCCGGTTATTATATCATGTGATAAGGCACGTTTGTATTTATTTAAGGTATTTTGCATCCTCCTTCGTCTTCTTAACACACAATTTAGCGATTCAATGCAGGCTTCTTCGATCTCCATCTTTCTTTTTCATCTGCCTCTTGTCTGGAGTGGAAAAAGCATACAAATTCAATGGCATTGAATTCTAGGTCGTCTTCACGGGGAAGGAGCGATGAAACAAAGAGTCAAAATTCCATTCAGTGTTACTATGAGAGTTAAAACAATATAAAATTAATTATTCATATTTTTAAAATGTATTAAAACCTTCTAAAAATAAAACCAAATACTTTATTAATAACATGACAAAGAATTAGAGGAAATCTATTAGTCAGGAATTTTTCGTTGTCAAATCGAGGTTGTTATCATCGGTGGTGGACTAACATATATTCTAGGAATGAAAAACAAGAAAATAATTTTGCAGGAGTGTAAAACAAAATGTACTATATTTAACCGGGACTAAAATCACATTCAAACAATCCGTAATTAAGTTGCTAAAATTACACGAGTAATAGCGGGTACAATCGAAAGTTTTGGAACGTAACTAAAATTGAAATCTCCATAACAAAAATAAAAATAAAAATAGTAGTCATCGTAATACTAGTAAGAATAATATGGATGAGGATGAAAATGATGCTGATCTTCATCATCATATACAAAATCAATATTAACATAATCAAAACAAATTTAAAAATTACTCGGTCATCTGATCAGACTATTACGA